CAACAGGTAAATTGACCAAAACCACATGTCTGCGATAAAATGTAAACGTAGTAAACCAGCATGTTTTGTTGTTCTGTCATCTGATTGGACACAGACTAAGTGCGAAATAATAACAATAGCCATATAAGGTCTTCTCAGACACACATATCCCTCTATTGTACTAAGACCCACCCATTTTCTTGTCATAAGAGAACATATTCTCACAAACCTGGCCGAATTTTGCTGTGATAGGGTCTCAAAAATCAAAGATAATGCAGTATTCCTTATTATTAAAATGTGTCTGAACTATTGAAACTATTCAAAAGGCGTCGTATTTATTCACTCATGTTTGTAAACTACCAACATCTTTGTAGATTAAACATAATTCGTCGTGGAAAAAGGGGCCCCAGATAGCAGTTATGTCACCTCATCCTTTGATAGCCGGGCTCTTTCTGAATGCAAATATACATAAATTTTGGAAATATCTCACTTTTTCGATATTTTATGAGCATTTTAGTGAGGCGCTTCAAAAATAACTTTGACGTTATTCACTGAAAACGTAATGACGTCGCCTGCGTCTTATTCAATTTTCAAAAAATCTTAAAATCACGTGTTATTTAAATAACCTCAATCGTTTTGAGCGTTTAAAATATGAGAAAGTATTTTTCCTCCAAGCGACTAGTATTTAACTATTCCTGAGGAATTTCGTATGTTATTACTATTTCCATGCTAATTTTAGAGCAGATCTAGTAATTCGTAAAAGGGAGGGGGAGGGGGGTCTGGACAGAATGTAGGAACGGTTTATAACATAATCAGTAGGGAAATAATATTTGTTTAAATCCATAAAAATCATTCTTTTTATATCAAATAATCTAATTCAATTTATAAAATTTATTTGTAACACTTAAAGATTAAAAGAAATATATACATAGATAGAGAATCCCATGCAGAAGGACACCGCGAGCAAATAGGGGCACCTCTCGATAATAAAAAAAAACTTGTGAGACAGAATTCACTCACAATCACACACGCAAGTTATGAAGCAACCATGAATTTTCTGTATCACCAAAAATTCATTTGAGAAATACTAGTAAATTCAGATACGCTAGGATATGTAAACTTGTTTTTAAAAACGTTTATTGCTTTATACACATTCATGAAAAAATATAAGTTCCCTTCTTCCATGCAAGCGGATTTTTAATTTTTTTTGTTTTACGTTTTTGAACATTTTATTCAAAAATTAAAATGTTTAAAGCTCTAGGTTTCCACTGTGTATACAATTTTTCGTCGCCTGTCTTAGTTATGGAGTAAAAACGTTGTAGTAAATTGGCAAATAAAGGACAAATGAATTATTTACATACCGTATACCTAAAATTGAAACTTTCTTTGAATTTATGCCTCAAATTTAACCGTCTTTTAACTTCATATTTTTTTTTAATTAAATCACAATAAAAATCGGTTACAAATATTTCTGCTCATTTACCTTTTTTAAAAATATATTTTGTGGCACCTGTACCCTGTTTCACATGAACACAACATTTGTATATTTCTTACAAAAGCCGCTCTTATGATCTAAAAAAAATATCTATGTATAATATTGTATAATTTAATATAAAAGATGGCAGTTGTGCTGTTCTTGTCTATTTTTATTATATTTACACTAAACGGTCTTGACTTTTCTGTGCGAAATTACATTTCCATATTAAAATTTTGACGAAATCTATTTGAAACTGAACTGAATGTATACTTAGTGGAGCCTCATTTATCCGGATGCTTTGATTCCTAGTCAATTTGCCCGGATATGTGAAGCGTCCGGATACCGGAATTACCAGTTAATAAAACTTTCGTCCGGATGAAAAATCGTTCGGATACATCCGGATATCTGGCTTCCGGATATCTGAATGTCCCCTGTATTTTTACGCAAGAACGGCTGGCCCTTAGGAAGCCATTTCAGTTGGGGGAGCTATATTTTTTTTTACAGTTGTACATGTAGGCACTTTCAATCACCAAATTTTCCTTTTCACGGCCACGAAATATCATCTACTTAGTCATGTTAGTATTCATTTTCTTCCGTGAATGGCTTACTAACTTGCTATAAGCTTTTCAAAATTTTTATGCGATTGTCTTTACCAATGATGAACTATTATGTACAACATACCTTAATGCTTTTTGTCTGAGGCGATGCTGTTAATTAAGTTAATATTATACCGCTCTAATCTGACTCTCTTTCGCTGAAATATTTACTTAGGCAGACCATTTATTCCTAGTTGTTACATCCAGAACATACCAAACATATCCCAAAATAAAAACATTTGACTCATACCTTCGCCTGTCCCCTCACTAACTCCTTTGAAAAATTTGGGGGTTGGTTCAGTTAGAAAAAATAAATAAATTTACCTTTTAAAAAATGGGGGGGGGGGGGGGGTCGAAACTCGAATCCAATTTCGCCGTTGGGCAGAAAGGGGGTGGGTAGGTTCAAATTTCTTTTAGTATAAAATTTACTTAATCAAACATAAAACACTGCCTTATTCTTTAGCCCTATAGTACACGAATGTGTCTACACTACAACAAAGACTGTATGTGTGTGTGTGGTGGTGGTGGTGGTGAGGGGGGGGGGGGGGGGCTTTCAATGTAAACACCACCCCTACCCCCGTTGCTACTTGCTGCGATTGTAATGATCAATATTTTCTTTAAAAAAAGTTTCTCTATTTATTTCTCCATGTTTTAAAATGTCATCTCAAAATATTACGAACTGTGTGTTCCTAACATATTATTTCACTGTTTTCACAACAAAACATGTACATTTGTTATAATTGTTGTTAATAGCCCTCCTGGTCCTGATATTGAGATTATCGAAAACTTCGTTTTTTTTATACTGCCATTTAGGTTTGAAAGATAATATTCCCCCGTCCAACACACTTCGTGCAAATGTCAACTACGAGGAGTAAGGTATTTTATTTCAAATCTATCTTGTTCGAAGTTTACGTAAGAATTTGGAAGAATTAAGCGCAACTATTTTGTGCATAATAAATACACTCAATACAGTTTTCACCATTGGTGGTATTGTAGCTCTCCGGTCTGCCGTTTGTTTGATTTTGTTTTTTTGTTTGTTTTTTTTTTTTTTTTTGGGGGGGGGGGGCTACATTTCTTCAGCTATCATTTCGCTTAATCTATAGTGTTTTTTCTGCTTTTAAATATCCACATTCATAATATTACTGTCAATGTTATATTATTCATTTTTTTTTAATTATTAATATGTACCGAGTATAATGTTTTGGGGAAAAGTCTACAATAGCTGTATTTAATTCCTAAACATAATTCAGTTCAGTAGGATTTCATTCATTCATTTCATCGAAAAAAAAAAAGAAAATTGAAACATGTATTTATTGGATCATTTTAAATCAGTTTTTGAAACAAAATGTATTTTTAGCAAAATTTTCATGGCACCCCCATCCTCCGTATTTTTCCATTTTTTTCTCCGCATATTCTCTTACTCTTGATTTAGTATAGAATTATTCTTTGTTGATGTCGAAGTTTAATTGGATCTCCCATGTAACCGGAATATTTATTTCCAGTTAAAGATAATTATGTTTTTTAGTTTGAACTTAACATGTAACCAGTTAGCATTTTATTCGCATATATATTTTGGCTCGTCTACTCCCCCCCCCTTTTTTTTTTACATACATTTATTCTAAAATCGACATTTAACAGTGGGCTAGCTGTCATGCAGGATACATCAGTATGATTAACTATGGATTAAGATTAAAATGGCTAAATACATTTTCATTATGGAATATATCTTTCAGAGAAAAATAAAAACGCTTATAAGAACGGTAATACAATAAGTGCATAGACTTCTCACTCCCTCTTTCTTTCTCTCTCTGAAAAAAGTACTATGACGTGTATGGAATGGAATACACCTTTTTATATTAAGACTTCTTAAATGAATTCAAATTTAAGCATTTGGAAATTTCCCAAAAACAAAAAGGCAGCATCTTTAATTTAGTCACGAAGAGACGTCGTTATCATCGCTGTTCCTAGCAAGGTGCATATCCAATGTTGCGTATCAATCAACATCAAGTTAAATACATGTACTTAAGCAGAATTATAAATAAATTCATATACATGAATTAAATAGAAATAATATCATATTATATACCTCTTAAAATGTCCGCATCAAATTTCAAATTTTTGCTACACTTTGAAATAATTTTTTTTTCCAGTTCGCGAAACGGAGTTGACATATTTTTTTTTACCTCCGTGTTTACAATACCGCGACTTTGACGTCGTTTTCTGAGCATTGTGACGTAAAAGATAAGGGCCCTTTTCTCATGACGGCAGTCATTTTATTTTGGGGAAAAAAATCTTTTTTTTTCTAAGAGACACACAATATGTTTCTATTTTGATTGTATATGTAGGCTTCTTTTCAAAACAATTGGGTGGCTCTTAAAAGAGCCGTTTGGTAAAAAAAACACTTTTTGGTTTTTTGTTTGTTTTTTTTTTTTTCATGATTTTTTTGGATTCTGGTGGGTCATAGTGGTTCCTAGTGGGACAATAATAATTCCTCCAACATGACTCCCTCGTCGGAACTGTCATCTGGTTCCTCAAATTCTGCCCTCCGGTTCACATGCTGTATTAACATCTCTGCGTTTCTGCACAGGGGGCACGGCATGTTTCTGTCAATCAGGCGCGCTGTACAGATTAAACATGCGGGTCTCTGTAAGCAACGCGAACACACCTAGTTATTGTTCTCATCATCACAAAGACACAGCATACAGAGGATCTGTCGGATAGGCATGGCAAGGCCCCAGGATGGTACCCTTCCTTCGTTCCTGGCCTGATCTTGTGATGTCGGGTTAGCAGGTCTGGGTGGTGGTGGGGACCGGGATGCTGCTCTCTGGAACTGAGGACCTCTCCGCCGACGATTGTTTATTTGCATTATTGCCATGTTGAGACGAAGAATTTCTCGACCGTTATCTTATCTTCTAACTGTAATATAGCTCTCAATGGAGATACCAGGCTTGGATTTCTCGAAAAAATCTTAAGTTAAATCTCAGACTTAAGTCTGAGTTTTTACTCAAATTTCTGAGAAAAATCTCAAATTTGAGTAAACTCAAAAAATTGCATTTCTCGAAAAAACTTAAGTAATTTTTCTAACTCAAACTCAGAATAAACTTAAGTTACCTTCTTAGTAGACTTAAGTCCTTTTAAAAAATCTCAAATATGCCCGTAAAAAACAGAAGACAGCGTCGTCGTCGCCGACATCGTCAGCTTGTAGCTCACAGTCGTTTGGTGGATAGGGAAAATCCATTAGAGGTCATGACAGAGGCTGAGGTTTTTCAGAGATTTCGATTTAGGCCCGCATCTGTGTTATACATCGTGAATCTCCTTGTCCCATTTCTACAGCGACAGACCCTCAGATCCTGTGCTCTTACCCCTTTACTTCAAGTTCTTTGCACACTGAGATTTTTAGCTACTGGCGGCTTCTACTCTTTCGTAGCCGATACATTTTCCTCAATTTCCCCATCCTCCGTCTGCCGGGCAGTGAAAAGCGTTTGCCAAGGATTGTGTCAGCTATCCAGACGATTCATCCAAATGCCCACTGGTAATCAGGCAGACGAAGTGAAAGGCAGATTCCATTCGATAGCAGGTAGCCTACTTTCATTTTGTAACAAGGGGAAGCAAATCTCATTCCATGGCATAGGTTAAATTGTACATATGAATTTCGTATTTCGTAGGCCTCACTACAGGCAATGCTTTTAATTTTCAAGTGGTCATTCGCTCTAATATATAATGTTTATTTCTTTAGAAAAACTTGTAACTTTTAGAGAAAAGTAACTTTTATTGTTGAATAATTGAATATCTTATGACACACAATTTTTAAAAATTAAATTCTCAAACTCTACCCCCCCCCCCCACACACACACACACACATTTGTCCAAAAAAAAAAAATAACATACGTGAATTTATTGGATTTGAATACTTATTATACTAATCCTTTCTGTTGCCAGTGTCTAACTCTGATTTTTTTTTCTCTCACGAGTGCCTTGCTAAACGCTCCCTTTTCAAGTTTATACTACACCAAATTATATTTAATTAATCATTTATGGTTCATAAATTATGCCTACGCATTGAATCAATTTACGAAATGAATTTGCAGGTTTTCCTAACGTACTTGGTTGTGTGGACGGCACATTTATTAAGATTCAAGCACCCTCTGAGAATGAGTCAGATTTTGTCAACAGGAAAGGGTACCATTCTTTAAATGTGCAGGTAAAATGTGTGTTTATTTTAAATGAGATCTATGACAAACATAAAATTGAGATAATTATTAATCAAAAAAGATTTGATCTCATTTCATTTAATAATCTTGAATTATTAATTATAACAATTATTAGAGAAATGATATTTATTTTAACAGATGATATGTGATGCAGAGTTTAAAATCCTGAACTGTGCTGCCAAATGGCCTGGCAGTGTTCACGATAGTAGGATTTTTCGTGACAGCCACATATCTGTTGCTTTTGAAAATGGTAAATACATCCAAGTTCATTATTTAGTTATGATAAATCTAAGGGGGTATGCCTGTGAGGTAAAAGGACCTAAATTTCTGACCTTAAATATTCATTGTGAATAACATACTCAAATATTAGTTTTAAAATTCTTATAGTAGAATATAAAAAGGATTTACCACTTGAAAGAAATTTTCAAAAATGTACCTATCTATGCTGAAATTAATCAATGAAAATTGTTTTAGGTCTATGTGAACAAGCACATTAACTATTATCAAAACAATTTGAATCAATTTTGTTAATGATAGCAAGATGTTTCAATTAATTTATTAGAAATACCCCCGGTAGAAACGAGTGAATTGACAGTACAACAGCATATACTGAGTTCTCAATCCATATACATGTACATGTATATCTGTTATTTCATTACAGTTTTATTGAATTTGATTCTATATATGGATACATTAAGCAAAATTAATATTTTTAGGAAGATATAAAGGTTTTTTGCTTGGAGATTCTGGATATCCCTGTAAACCCTACTTGATGACACCTTTTCCTGCTCCATCAACTCCATCTGAAGCTAAATACAATAAATGTCATGCTAAAACTAGAGTTATCATTGAGCAAACTTTTGGTATCCTGAAGAAGAGGTTCTCCTGCCTTCACAGTGGATTGAGAACCACACCACAGAAAGCTTGTGACATAACTCTCAGCTGTGCAGTTTTACATAACATAGGGATTGATAGAAATGATATTTTGGATGTTGATGATGGATATATTAATCAAGGGGATATTAATTTAAATATCAGAGATCAGTGGGATGGAAAGAATGTAAGAAATTATATTTGTCAGTCTTTCTTTACTTAATGTTAAGTCCTAGCCACTGAAGAGCATTGGTTGTGCAGGTAGAATATGTGGTCTGCCCTCCTATATGTAAAATGAAAAAAAAAAAACAGATATATGCAGTAAATTAAATAATACATTTGAAATAGATTAAGTATTTTTTACATTATTTTAGACCATGACAAACATTAAAGTGATATTTTTTTCTAGTGCACCTGTACTTCATAAAAAGTGACTTGGATTTTTTTTTTGTGTGTAACAGAGGTATCTTAGCTAGCATTTATTTATATTATACAGTTTTATTAAAGTCTAAAAATCAATTTTCCATTGTGATCAGGAGCTTCCTTGAAATATATGTTATTGTACATGTAATGTGTAAAATAAGAAAAATAGATGATTCAAGGTAAAAGACATTTATTACTGGACTTTTGATACAGTGCAACACTTATATAATATATATAATAGTGTAGCATAATAAAGAATAAATAAATATATAAAATGAATATCTGCAATCTATATTTTCTGTAAAATTTAACAATTCTTTTGTCTCTTGTTTGCCATTTAATATCTTATTAAAGGAGAAATTTCTGTATGTATTGTACTTGTATAAGAAAAACTACTGAAAAATAAAGAGTTGGTAGATGTAGATACATTTTACTAAAATATGGCTGGAAATTTTTTACGTACATAATGTTTGTATCTATACTTTTATAGTGGTAACTAGAAATGTGTCCATAGGACATGAATGCCCTGCCAAGGTTATATCAGTAATGCAACATAAAAATTCAAATCTGTGAATGAAATTTCAGAATATCTTGAATAGTGATGCAGTTGATTTGCTTACATCAGCATGTATCAGCATATGATGTTTGATAACACTATCTTGAATGGTATATTTAAAACTTAGCTTTGAACTGAGCTAAACGCAAAGTGTGATGGAAAGACAGACGGAAGGACGGAAGACAGACATGACAAACACTATATGCCCTGGCCATAATAAAATATCATTTAAACATTATATTAGATTTTAGTGTATACAGATATATTCAATTGCCTAAGAAATAAAACAAAAGTTTCTTTCAAATTCAGGTATTAGTTCCTCAATAATATTGAGTTCCCCCAAGAATTTGTCATGGAAAGATTACTGCTTTAAAAAAATTCCTCACTAAGATTTCTAACTCAGAGACACTTCGAACAATTTAGAAATCACAATTAACGTAGTGTATGTGGTATAAATTATAACAACTTTTATATACGCAGGTACATTGTATTATGAGAAAAAAAATAGATAGTCCATGAACATATTGTGGTGGAAATAAAGTGAAACAAATTAACAAATCATTTCATCATTTTAAGCTGTAAAAAAAATACAGCATGTGTGTGTTGAAAATACATATCTTGTTCATATTGTTTTGCCAAATAGATCAAGACTTAGTTAATGACAGAAATACAGATAACATATCTAGAATGATTCATTTTCAAACAATACCAAAATAATTAATTAATGCTTAAATAAACGTCAAAATGGTTCAAATACTTATAACTGTAAAGTATTCTTATTGCTCTGAATTTCTGTTTGATTGTGACATTTCATTGATTTTCTTTTTGAAATACAATGTTTTGACTCTATAGTATTCTGCTTCTTCCTTAAGCTTGATTATCTCCTGGATGTACTTATCCCTCTCTGCCTTAAGGGTCTGATTCTCCTCACTCTCTGTGTTTTTCCTCCTTTTGGATGCCTTAGTCGAGATGGTTGTTGGATGTTGAAGGTGTAAATCAATAATCTGACCAAAGTGGGTGCTTTCATCTATGGGTACTTCTATATTTGTGCATGAAATAACTAAAAGTAATAAAATGAAATGTAATATGTTCTTTTAAATAATAAAAATTTCCAAACACAAAAAATGCATCATTCATATAAATGATACAATTATACTCTGCTCAGTTACAGTGCTCATACATAATGCCCTATATTTAAAAGTTGAACAGAACTTGAATGTTTTAAGGACGTTCGATCCTGATATTTTAAGCGTATTTCGCGCAGGTGCTTTATTCATGAGCCAACTTTAACATAAAATTCACACTTTTTTAGTAATATCTGAAAATGTACATCATATACCCCCACTTTTGATGTTCTTTTCTAAATATTCAAGATAACTTTGACCTATTTGCTTAAAATCAGAAAAAGTTTAAGACTTGAACATAATATTATTCCTTATTATATTTTCAATGCCGGAAAAATAACATTTTATTAGTGCAGAAAGGTCAAATAATTGATTATGCGAAGCAATTTGAAACTTTTTCTTCGTCACAATTTTTAAGTGTCTTTTTTAAAACAGACTTAAAGTTCATTTTGTTTCATGCTTTAATTGGATAAAAAATATTGAAAGGAAGATGTAATTTTTAATTAAGACACAAATTTCAGTGCAGAAAGGTCAAATAATTGATTATGCGAAGCAATTTGAAACTTTTTCTTCGTCACAATTTTTAAGTGTCTTTTTAAAAACAGACTTAAAGTTCATTTTGTTTCAAGCTTAAATTAGATAAAAATATTGAAGAGAAAATGTCAAAGATGTAATTTTTAATTAAGACACAAATTTCAGTGCAGAAAGGTCATATCAAATGTACTGTGGCGCTAAAAGAAGCATATTGACCCCCATTCTCTTATTTGAATTTCAACTAAGCTATGTATGTAGAAACTAAAAATATACTTGGCAAAAAAAGTTTAAAACCTTAAATATCAGGATCGAACGTCATTAAATATGTCATTCATTTTTTCACAAATTGTAACCTGTATACATTGATATCTGGTTTCCCATGCCTTGGCAATACCGATTTGCATGCATTATTGAAATGTATTCAGATTAATAACAAATGTTTTACCACATAGATTGTCTGCGTTTTCGGGGGCAAGTACTGAACAAGTACCCGCTACACCAGTGGCAGTGCTGCTGTAGTCTAATGTAGGTGGTACAATGCCAAGAATTACTGAAAATGATAAGTACATTGCTATTAAAAAATTTGACATTTGTGTTAGAAATTGACAATTGATCTATAGTAACATTAGTTAAATATTCCTTTAAATGGTTATTTCTAATTTAAAACTAAACTGGGCCAAGCTTAAAAAATTCTTTGTTTGCAATTGCCGACATATAATTTTTAAACTGAGTGGGTAGGTAGGCATTCCCCCTTTTTTTTTTTTAAATTTTAGAATTTTTTATTAGATAATAAATAAATAAGTAATTAAAAAAAGTTTGGGTCAGGTGCATTTTCAGTGGATCAGTAGGCAATTGCAAACAATTTTTTTTTTTATTTTAGACCCTGTTTAATAATATATCTGTGAAGAATACAACAGATATTTTACACAAATTAAAAATCAAAGTTTATGACCGTTTATGTTTTAAATACCTTCCTCTGTATCATGACCAGAAGACAGACCACAAAGAGTTGGTCTATCCTCCATGTTGTTGAGCAGTTCGGTCTCCACTGGGGTAGGGGAGGAAGGTCTAGGACCCCCTCCAGTTGGCGGACGGCGCATAGCATCTGACTTCTGTTTTGCTGTAATAATTAATGCATTAAAATTACAATTTTTGTTTAAACATCTTATTTACTGGATACGACTTAAAAATTTACATTTCTATTATATTAAAAATATAGTCATATTTAAAAGAAACACCTTAAGCTACAAATCAAAATTTTATTTTGATTCAAAAATTGCTTAAAATTCTCAAAATCCAAAATATCATGTTAAAAAATAATACCACTTTTACAATATTTATTTATATTTCATACAGCAGTTACAAATAAAATTAAAATATTTATAAGTATACAGTTGCATTTCTTTCAATCTGTGAATCTTCATTGTTTATTGATTTTACAGGAAATTAATATTTTTATGACAATTCATAACTATTTTTTATCTTCATAGTTTAAAGAATATCATTTCATATAATAGTATTAATATTTAGAGTAGATTTTAGATTTCTAATCCATAAGGAAAATATTATTCCTACCTCTTTGCTTGATATTTGCATACTGTTTTCGTACTTCTTCAGTACTTCTGTTTATTGTCTCTGAGATACTGTAAAAGAAAAGTTGTACCTTTTAAATTTAGCAGTAAATAAAGACAATTCATTTATGAAGGTGTGATGCTGAATAAAATATTTTTTCAGTAAATCAAATGAACTTGGATATGATGTATATGTACACTACCATTTCTTGAAGAACTTATTACATCGTTTCATGTACGCTTCCATGTAATTTATATGTTGATTGACCTCCATTATTAGTTCATACTAGCTCAACAATTATCAATCCATACTTTTCTTACACAGAACAGAAGAAAACGGAAAACCCCTGCGCGCCCAACCTGGACGGGTTAGATAAACAAAGGGGAATAACTCTTAACAATAAGTTTTGAAAAATAGAGGGAAATTACCCAGAAATATGAATAAAACATGACGCATATACATAAATACACTGTTGCTCCATACACATACAATTAAATCAATAGGCCTATTGTGTTTGTGTGTGTTTTAATTATTTTTTTTTTACAAAGTCATTATAAAATAAAAAACAATGTACAATTATGCTTCACATCCTTTCTGCCCAGGGAAATACCTAGATATACCGGGTATAGCAATTTTTAAAATGACTGAATGGTGAACGTTAAAATATATATATCCATTTGTTGTCTCTAAAAATTGGAATTCCCCTTGATACGTCTGAAAACTAATTATAGCAAAAAAGAGGAATAACTCTAATTCTTAAAAAAAATCCGAGGCAATCGTTTTCCATTAAAACAATATTAATGCAAGTTAATTATGCATAATATAGACTACATATTTTCGCATGGTTCATGATTAGGCACCTATAGTACACACTGTAACTGGTACTTACGCATTCACCGCCTCTGCCACCTCCTCTCATGCCTCCTCTTTTATCTTGACATTTTTGACACCCCCCGGCCCCTTCATCTTACCGAAGAGACGGTCCTCACGTCGTCGGACCGCCTCAACCAAAACTAGTTTTTCTTTCTCGGTCCAATTTGGCCGGCGGGGTGTCTTAGACGTTGCCTCTTCCATTTTTTGGCGCTTTGTGCTGCTGCAGACGAT